TTCTCTTTTTTTAAGTGTGTTGAAAGACCCCTAAACACCGATTTATCGAATTGAGAGATAACTACTACTACTACTACCGAAAATCATTTCAAATTATTGTTAGTATTCAAGTATTGTAATTAAATATGCTTGATACTAAGTATTATTCATTGATCTTAACCCTCTAACGTATGAAATTGATCAATGTTACGAAATTACAAGGGTGACAATAGGGACAAGAAGAAAGAGAGAGAGAGAGAGAGAGAGAGAATATGAAATGCGAATCGATGAAGAAATTGAACGTTGACGGTAGTTAAGGATGATCGATTAGGCGAGTACTTACTTAAGATAATTAGTCGACCGTTATAAGATTAATTGAATGCTTTACCTTACTCTTTGTCTCTCTCTCTCTCTCTCTCTCTCCCCCCTTTTTTTATCTTTTTTTTTTCTTATTCGAACCAACAACTTTTATTCGATAGGGAAATAAACTGGTAATTCGTGAGCGAGCGAATGAACGAATGAACGAACGAACGAACGAACGAGCGAGTTCATGCATGCATGGCGTATATATGCGTGATGCTTTATATACACACACACACACACATGTATATAAGTACTGTCCCTGTCTATCACATGCAACGATTATATGTACCTTACGATGAGACGTAAAATACGGTAATTAGTACGCAGACCTTCTCGCACGTACTTCGTCGTCTCCACTTTGCACGCTTGTAAACTACCTGTCTGAAGTACTTATGTGAGTTACGATAATTACTCTTTAAACGCGATTTACATTGAAAATCTATCTAAATTTTTATATTCTATATTCACCTATCTTTTTTTTTGTTTCTTTTCTTTTAGGTTCCTATCCGACCACCTCCCCCCACCCCCATCCTCCTATCTATCTTTATTTATGGACAGATGTGTTGGACATGATGTTATTAATTATAAAAAAAAAAAAGCTATGCTTACGAAAAATTATTAAATAGTTGTAATGTTTAATATCAGTTATAATAATTATAAATAATAATATTAAATTAATATTATATAATAATTTAATATTACTAGTTATAGTAATAACTAGATATAGTAATTTAATAATATTAGTTATAATAATTCTAATTAATTTTATATATATATATATATATATTTGAATATAATAATTATAACTAATATATTTAATATTTAATTATATAACAAATTATAAATTAAATATAATATTAGTTATATATAAGTAATTATAAGTAATAATATTAAATTACTATTGTATAATAATTTAATATTACTAGTTATAATAATAAAACTAGATAGAGTAATTTAATAATATTAGTTATAATAAGTTACTTATAATAATTTAATAATATTAAAAAATATTAATTATAATTTAATAATAAAAAATATTAAATAATAAATATACTATTATCTAAAAATTCTTAATCCAAAGTTTGTAATAAAAACGGTCCCCACTTTTACCCACTCCAACCCTTCCTTATCGACCGAAACTGTATCAAAAAAAAAAATTACCCAAATCTTTCAAAACAAAAAAACCTTTATAATTCCAAGTTAATTTTTTTTTTATTTTTTTGTAAAAAAAAAAAAAGTAAGATAATATTTATATACTTAAATGTAAGAATGTCAATCGATAGTATCGATCGATTATATTTGATACCTAATACGAAATTGTTACACATATATTACGAGTACTCATTTGAAAAAGATAACATATTAAAAATAAATGAACTAAATAAATTCATTTAAAAATATAACTATTTTTGAGCATCGTCATTCTTTCATCGTAATAAAAGAGAAAAAAAAGAACAGAACAGAATATCATTTTTATGAGTCAGTTACAACGACTCGTTGATCGTGACTGATCCTCGACGCTTAACGGCTCCACGACCTCGATTTAGGTAAAATAAGCGGAAATTGGTTAGGCACGTGCATGCCTTTAATACATACTATACGTCCACATACACTTATATATAATATATATATACACCCACAAATCTGACGTAAACGTAGCAAACTCCGAGGAGACTCGTACATACGATATTGTTCAAGCTGTAATCTTGTTAACACGCTTATATACACTCTCAAACATAACTAAATACTTATGTGTTTAATAAACGTTATTATACAGATATGTGTATCAAATACATCTTTCTCTACTAGTTTATATATAAAAGGACAATTTAAATAATAAAAAAAAAAAAAAAAAAGTCAAATAAAAGTAAAGAGGGGAAGAACTATCGAGAGTGGAACGAAAACACGAACTCATTGTTCACACTCTATTTATTATCGCGGCCTTTTCGAATGACAAAGAGACACGATTGTTATCTAAAAAAAAAAATTCATTTGATTTGATTTAATTGAAAACATGATTTTGCATTTAACTATCATGTATTTCTTATGATTTTATATATGAAAAAAAGAAAAAAAATAGGAAAGGAAGTTGTACTCGTTTATTTTATCAACGATCGATAATGAAGGAAAACGTGTTACCGAACGATGTTAAACGCGTATTTTTTTTTCATAAAGATTTCATTTAGAAATAATATATTTTGTTAAAAATTATGTTTGTGTATAAATGTACTTGTAAAATGAATAAATTGTTATAAAGAATATTACTAATTTGTTATAAAATACTTTTGAATAAAACTATAAGTGTATATGGAAAATATTCTAACTTTGGATGTAATACAACACCAACAACAAGAAGAAGAAGAAGAAAATATTTCATAATTATTATTAAATTTAAGAAGACGATGCTCATTCTTAGATTATTCTTATAAACAATGAGTACTATAATAATAATATATAAATATATTTAAAAAAATAAATAAAACATTGCTTGAGAATACGACCATTATTCTCAGTTTCGTATTCTTTCGCATTGAAATAAAATGAAACATAATTTATTAATATTTACTTTTACTCACCGAACATACGCTGCAAATTATATTTTACAGAATACAGGAAACATTGATGCCAACCTGTATCACAAAAAAAAAAAGAAATATATATACTATTAATAAAATGTTAACTATGTATATACATGTAATATCTGTTCAATATATGTTTTGTGACAAAAGATATAAAAATATTGTATAAATTATATAAAAAAAAAAGAAAATAATAATCTTACCTGTACATTTATTCGTAAAATAGAACAAGACTGGTTGACTATAGAGAATAATTATGTGACTACTAAGAATTCCGATAACTTCCAACAGCATTACCTGTAAATAAAAATACCAACATGTTTATAATGACAATCAATATTACAATGATATCAAACAAGAGTTTACAAATGACACATATGTTATAATAAATCTTCTCTAAAATCTTCTTGTATTTTTACTTGAGATAATCATTTAGAAAATATATCATTATATTTGTTAGTGCCAAAATGAATGAATTCTAATTAAAGAATCTTGATGATTCATATAAAAAAAGAAATCATCGCTTATTCGACTAACATAAAAATACAATAAAAATAAATCAAACATATAAAACAAATTACATTGATCCTTCCATCTTGTTGTTGTTGTTGTTATTGTTTCTAGCTTGATATAATTAAAAAAAAAAAAAAACAAAGAAACAAATAAATTCTTACAAAACAATCGCATTCGCGTAATTAAGAGACGTGAATAAAAATAACAGTAAAAGAGAAAAACAAACAAACAAACAAACAAAAATGTGTCAGATTTAAAAACTAATCGTATCCATTACGTACTGGTAAACTGTAACAGATTGAATTCGTTTGTAGATAGAGATAGATAGATAGATAGATATGTACATATATCTCAAAAATATCTATGAACTATTTGATCATGCACAACATATTTATTCATAAGCCACTAGCCTAGCAACCGTTTATTCAGTTATTGCTGTTAACAGCATTCGTGTTCGTATAGTACACGAAAGTCAAGGTCGTTTGACTTATCTTTAGAAGGTCAACTTGTTTTGTTTATAATATTTAATGCGTAATTGGCAGCGCTACGAAATATCTAATACAACCGGTTTCTCTTTTACTCTCTATGATTATAAATTATCTCAAAAAAAAAAAAGAGACAAATCTAACATATAATCTAAGATAATCTGAGAATAAATAAAATAAAACAAAACAAAAAAAAAACGATATTACTACATAGTAGGAAGTTAAATAATAAATCCATGTTATCCTAAGTATTCGACTATTAATAGAAAAGAATTTCTACGGACAAATTGTTCTCAACGAATGCAACACACATAGATAGACACACACAGAGAGAGAGAGAGAGAGAGAGACAGACACATATGTGTATACACGCACGAACATACACATGTATCTCTTCGAATAACATAATTCACGTAAAAATGTAAATAATTGAAATACTAATGTAAGATGATATTAAAACGTACCAAAATCACTAATAGTTAGAATTGGTCTCGTTGCGCTTAACCTCTCACCAATCCATGTATCCACCCACCCCCGACACAGGTCTGACATTTCATCCAGTCTGCAGATAATATGCGTTCCCGGTCATGCTCTCGCTATGCTCACACTTATATGTAAGAATGATCTGAGCAAGTGATAATACAACTGGCGCCGCCATTCACTACCGTCAATTCTTACCGAAAAATATGTCTTCGAATTTTCTTCCTTAATTAACATTATTACGACAAAGAGAAAATATTAATTAGAATTAAGTATAATCATTTATTACAATAACTAACTTATTCTTCGTGTACTATCATCTACTAACCACTCGACAACACCACTATTTTCATTTCTTACCACAGATTAAATACTCTATAGATTTAACGAGTATTCACATTTTTGTTTACTATACAATTGGAAGGGGACTGTCATTATCATTTTTCTATCGCGTTCTACATTACCGACTATATATATATATATATATTTATATATCACTTTTATTCTTGATTAAAAAAATAATACAAAAATATGTTTTTTTTTTTTTTTTTTATAATATATTCAAAATATCTAATTAAAGTATTTATAATATTTTGAATATATTATATTATTCAAAATATCATTCATCACGGATTTAATTTTATCACGTGATTCGATGCAGTGCACACATTACACACATCGTAATCACGTTTCATATTTGTACAATATATCATGTTTTTTGTTGTTGGTTGTTGTTGTTAATTTCTAATTGTTCTTATCCTAACTTATTTTATATGCTTTTCTTTTTTATTTATATTATACTATATAAAAATAAATATATACAGTAAAATATTAAGTTTTGTTTTGTTCAAGGAATTGTTTCAATAAATTATTACTTAATGGAATTGTCAAACATTCCGTACCATCCTTGTTACGTTTAGTTCGTACTAATTTGTGATCTATGAATTCTGTTAGTTGTGCTCTCAGAGCTAAATCGGTACTCACAAGAAAATTTTCTCGTGCTATTCGATATAAATCCTTAAATGCCATTCCTAAATAAAAAAAAATAAAAAAAAAATACAATAAAAAGTTGAAACATGTAAAATGAAACATTTATTTCAATGATATTTTCAATGTAATATATATATTCAAATAATTACCTGAAAAATCACTATTATTACTATTATCCAATTGATGTTCTATTAAAAGTTTATACATTGCTCGAGCATTTGATGTTAAAGACTGGAACACATTGATGAGTGATGATAAAGCAAGTGTTCCACTGTGTTGTATTAATAAAGAACTTTCATACGAAGTTTCAGCTTCATATGGCAAAAGTGTCGTAGTATCCCACCAATAAAAATTGAACTTTGAATGCTTCGTATGATCCCACACTGAGTTAAACGAATATAGAATTAAATATCTATTCTCTAAAGAGAAATTCATTATTAATGTAATCCATATTACTTACAAAGTGGTGCATTTATATGATCGATGGATGCCATTATACAAAAATTAGGTATTCTTGCAAGAGTTGAAAGTGCATCTTGGGCTTTGTTAGAGCGCAGCATTATACCATCTATATTATGAATTAATAAATATAATCTGTCTTTTGGATTCTTCTTTAATACATTGGTAATAAGTTCGATGCATTCTGTTATACCAGTTGGCACACTCAATTCCAATAAATCTATTATTATACTATCGATAATCTGAAAAATGACACTATTTTATTAAATAATATCAATTTATATGATATAATATTGTTGTAATAATAAAAATAAATGTATCTTACATCTTTGATCGTTAAACTAGGAAAAAAGCCATCGACTACTAAAGTTGGATGATTAGAAATAAATTGATTATGAAAATCGTTGATTAAATTCCTTTTCGATCCCAAACCATACAGCAACAGAGTATATCCTTCTCTAAAATTTAAAAATCATCTCTTTATAAATACTAATCAAGAATCTTAGAATATTTCTATTTATATATTTATAAAACTTACTCCATAATAAAATACCACATAGGAAAGAAATCATGATAATCTTTTGAAAGTGAATAAATAAGTTTCTTATGTGTTTCAGTAATATGATCCTGATTAGCCAATAATTCTTGCAATTTATCTCGAGTAAAACGAGAATTGCGAAGACGAGCAAGCGTGTGATTGGACGTAATAGCTTTATGTGATTGATTCTCAAAATATTCATCAGTTCTCATATACTAAAAACAAATAGAATTCTTTAATATAATTCGTATTAAATAAAATATAATAATTTTAATGTAATTTCTATAAAACTTACGTAATCTTTGCAAGGAGTTTTATTTTTAGTCTGTGATCTCTTTGGAGTACTAATTAGTTTAGATTGTAGTTTGGTTCTATGTTGCATAGCTTTTAAATGAGATTTTTTGATATAAATGTCCTCGTAACTTGTGTTACAATAATCACTGACTTCTTCAAGATCTGAATCTAATACTATTTCATCTTCTGAAGGTATATAAATGCTTTCTTCTGACACACTTTCCTCATCGCTTGATATTATTACTTCTTCATCTGAAAAAAGGAATTTTTTAATTATTAAAATATTTTTTTCAAATGTTAGATAATCAACACAAAAAAGAAAAAGAAAGTATATGTCGTACCTGGTTTAGAATAACTTTTCCTATTGTTGATTGATTTATTATTAGTATTACGTTTTGCACTAGCAGTTTTGCTAGTTTTAACTTTGGCTATCTGAGATTTTTTTTCTGTGGATGACATAAGAGACAATTGTGCTTTTTGTACCATACTATTTCTCTTAGGTGTTTGAAACCGATACATATTCTTACCATTAACATCATTTTCACTAAATAATTCTAAAACAATACATGTACAAATTAATACAATTATATATATATATAATAAAATTATGTAAAATAATAATAAATTATCATACCTGTTGGTTTTTGTATATTTTCACTAATATCTTTTAAAATGTTTTCTTGATCTATTGAGGGGTTAATTGACACATCTTGTTGTACTTCTGTAATAATTCAAAACGAAAAGTAAGGTTATGTGTGTATTCACTCTTATATTATACATAATATATTTATTACTTATAATTAATATTAATGTAATTAATAACATATTTTCTAAATAAAAAAAATCTATAATAATCTAAATAATAAAGAAAATACATACGTTTAGTTTTCTGAATGTTTCCATGCTCACTTTTGTATGCCTTTATTCTTGATGAACGTCGTAAATTTTTACTATTTTCCGACATTTTTATTTATTTTTTATTAATTACATAAAACAAATGAAAAACAATGCAATTATTTTTAATACATTATTAAATTGTTGTCCTTTATTATAACAATTATAATTCAATCACTATTAGAAAATGTAAATTTGAAAGTTTAGTTTTAATTTGTACAGGTTAATCAACTGCAAGATATGAAAAAGTAACTAGCTAAAAATCTAACTAGATATCTAGAATTAAAAAACTATGAAATAAATATTTAGGAATATTGTAATAATTGTATTCGTGATATATTTAATATTTGTCGAATTAAATATAAATAAAAATAATTGCAAAAGTTGATTATTGATAAATGTCTGATCAAAGATTATTTTGCACTTTTCTTTTATTTTTACACATGACATTAGTATATTAGCAATTTTATATAAATGAATTATATATATAGTGTGCGGGTGGCAGTAACATTTTAACGCATCCCTTAAAGTTTTGGTATAAATTTTTTTTACAAATTCCTGCTAATTATTACATTTTTTTTTTCTTTTGAAAAATATTTATACACAATGATTTTATATTTGTAATATAATTATTTAAATATTTTATTATTTGTGATATAGAATATTAATAAACAAAACACAATAATATTTATAAACATGTAAGTATATTGCATTGTTTTTTTTTTTTATTACTTTGTAATTGCATATTAAGATTTTTGTTCTCTCTCTCTCTTATTATTATTATTATTATTTAATTAAAAACAGATCCAATGGAGACAGAGAATCCAGTTATATTGGAAACTTGCGAAAATGATTCGGTTTTGCTTCAGACTGTTAAAAATATTGTTGTTAATCAAGATCAACATAATGAAATGGAACCTGGAGAAGATGAATTCTTTTTAGTAACCGATGTTGACAATGATCAACAAAGAAATATAAATATTAATAACGACGAGTCTATATGTAATTTAAACGAATCTTTAGAAAGAATGTCGTTGTCAAGATTATGTAGATTTTGTGCTAAGGTATATGATCACTTTATTCCAATATTTGAAGGAGAAGGCATGGAATATTCAATATGTGACAAAATACACAGATATTTACCTATACATGTAAATATATTTTTCATTATTCACAATTATCTCATAATATTGATATATTAACAATTTTGATATTATATTACAGATTTCTGAGAATGATACATTACCTTTGAATTTATGTTATCGTTGTGCTGCCATGATATTAACATGGCACGGATTCATTGAAAAATGTATGAACGCTGAACGCAAATTACTTGAAATACAAAATTCATTTGATAACAAACAAGTTAGTTTTTATTAAGTATATATCATATGAACAATGATTTCTGTTCTAATAAATTATTATTTAAATGATTATTTTCAAATGTATTGATCTTATTCTAGTACTTTCAACCACAGTCAACTTATGAATCAGAAATTGTACCGGAAATAAATTTATCTAATATTAATGACAAAAATTTTGTAAGTATTAATTGCATACTTTGATTTTTATCTATTTGTACAATATTTTATAATATATATATATATTTAATATTAATAACAGTCCAGTGAAGAAAATGAAGTTAAAAATGAGACACATAAAGAAGGAACTGTTAATTATTTAAACAGGTATTTTGTTTATAAATCTAATTACTGATTTTCTGGTCTTTTAATCAATAAATGTAGTCACAAACCTTGACTATTGTCCAGATCCAGTGGCAACCGGACAACGTTTAAAATGTTCCTGGAAATGCACAATATATTTTGGAAACCGTATAAAAAGAGATGTCAGCTACAACAAAAGAAATCAAATACTAATGGAGATTGTAATTCTGTTTGGATAGCCGTAATGGATACAACGCTTGATCATCATTCTTCGATAACCGATCTACAACAGAATAATGATGTTGAAGTGAAAGAAAAAACATCAGAAGAGTACAAACCAAATAATATCACAATTATGGATCGTGAAGAAAATACGTGTATGATGGCATTTCTTCCTAATGTAAATGGTGAATCAGAAAAACCTAAGAGATGTGAAACTTCCTTAAACGATACTAAAGAATCTAACAAACAGATGAAAAAACAAAAAACCTATTCAAATACACAGGAATCATATAAATGTGTCGAGTGTGGGAAATATTTTAAATTAAAAGATTCTTATTTGAGACATATGAGGATACACAAGGATGAAAGACCATTTACTTGTCATGTATGTGGAAAACAGTTTCGTGATTCTGGTGGGCTTTCAAGACACTTAAGAGATGTACATGCGAAGCTTAAAAATTTTACGTGCGACATTTGTGGCAATTCGTTTGCATCTAAAGCTACGAGAGATGATCATCGTCGTACGCATACAGGAGAAAGACCTTACATTTGTGATTCCTGTGGTAAAACATTTAAATCTAAAGCTTCACTTTATATTCATAGTAAATTGCATACTAATGAGTTTCCACATCCATGCAGTTATTGCAATAAAAAGTTTCGTAGACGTCAAGAAATGTTAACCCATGTAACAACGCATACAGGTGAAAAGAATTATGAATGTGATGAATGTTCGAAAAGATTCCGAGTCAAATCTGAATTGGTCAGGCATAAGCTCGTCCATTCTGAAATTAAACCATTTGTTTGTGTCAAATGTGGATTGGCTTTTCGTCAAAAACGTCATTTAAATTATCACATTAAAAACAGACACGTAGATTTATTACAAATGAAATAATTTGCACGTTGCATAATTTGTTGTAAATTATATGTATAAACGTAATTGATGAAACAAAAGGTTTTTTTCAATTTCTGAAACTTTTGCATTGCTACCTGAAATATATATATATATATATATATATTTAATAATGATACGATATATATATTTGATAGAGTAAAACATTTTGTAATATATTATTATAATATTTCATATTAATTTGGACGTTCTTATTATTAAATTAAGATATTTCATTTATCTTATAAATTTGCGATAAGGTTTTATTCTCTGTAACAAGTCAATTATTTGTTATAAACATTTATATAGAGTTTTCAACTTGTCCTTTTAACTATCAAAATAATGTTTTTCTAATAATGATATAAATGTCGTTGAATTGATCGAATAGTAGCTGTGAACGATTTTGTACAAAATTATAAAAATCCTTACAATTTGATTACACCTTGTAATTAAAACAATGTAAATGTATATTTTTATAATAATTAATTCCTATCTAAAAGTAATAAATAATTAGCTTAATTTGTATAATAAAAAAAAAAAAACTTGTATCCTTTGAATGAACCTTTTATCATTAACAAATTAAAATGAAAATTGCAATTAGAATGCATAAAAAGAAAAAGTCGTTAAAAAATATAAATGAAATTTGTTATTTGGTGTAAAATGGAGACGCGAAAGGAGAAAGAGGAGGAAAAGGAGGAGAAGGAGGAGGAGGAGTAGGAGGAGGAGAAGAAGGAACGCAGCGTATCACTGGATGAAAAATTGTTGTGCGTATTTTGAGATCTCTCATACAAAATTGTGGAAGTAGTTGTCTCTATAGTTTTAAAAAAAACAACCTTGCGTGGGTGCACGTAATACCATCGAAAACTCTATTTATAAGTAGTAGAACACAGAACGGTGTCTTATTATTATCCGAAATAAAACTGGTTTTAAAAGAGGGGTGGCAAAAGAACGACGACGAGTTCGGTTGAAGAAAACACGACAGACGGTTTCTTGTATTTTATAAATATCGTTTTTACACAAACACTAATCTACACAGAGAAACACACATGATCGCATTTATACTTTTAGAGATTTACTAAACACACGTCATTGTTGTATTCTCAAAAGAACAAATCTAATTATGTTAATTAAATTGTTAGGAATTTATTTTTTTATACATCTTTTGTTTATCTTCTCGTTTTTTTTTTTGTTAAGTCAATTTAATTAGGATGTTACTAAATTACTAATAATTTAAATATGGCTCCGACAAGTGGATAGAAATTTGTGATTGTTTTTTTTTATTTAAAAAAGAACACGAGGAAAAATCGTAAAAGTTGTTCTCAAAACGAAAGTTAATAAGAAAAGTGGAGCGGGGGCGGGGAAATGATTAAAAAAGAACTGAAATTAAATAAGTTTTGATTAAAAAAAGATTAAGTGAAGGAGGAGGAGAAGGAGGAGGAGGAGGAGGAGGAAGAGGGTCAGAAAGTAACGGGAGGAGGAAATATATCGATTTCTTCTAGTTTCGCGAGTAAACGGACATGCGTCGGGATTCGGATTGCTTCTGGAAGTTGACGGAAAGAAGGTGTGACCTTATACTAGCTGACAACGTAACACAAACATCATCATTTCTCTAGTTCCTTTCGAATTCCGTTAGAAAGAAGATACTCCTTATTAAAGTATATATACATATATATATATATATATTTGTTTAAATTATTTTCATTTTTAATTTGCACATATATACGCGCCAAGTATTTTAATTTTCAATCGATATATCGAATAGCATCTTTTTACCCGCCTCTTCCTCTCTCTCTCTCTCACACACACACGGTGATCCTCGAGATATCTCGAACATCCTCGAAAAGGATAATTATTTTAATTGGTCGATTGAAGTGCGCGGGAAATCAATTGACAATTCAATTTCATTCAACGTTCGTTCACATTTTTTTTTATATTCCGCGTGTGTTTCACGTTTTTTGTTCACATTATACAAAATACATCATTTTAAATGAATTTATTATATTTTGTATTATTTGTTATCATAGAATATAAAATTATTGATAATTAATCGATGTTTATTTTTATCGAAACAGATTTTGTGTTTTTCTACGTTAATTCGAAATAATTCAAATGATGTTATATTCTTAATATGAATAGTAACAACGAGTTTCTAATTTTATTTTTATTATTTTCCTTAATTATATAGTGTTTAAAAAAATAAAAAATAAAAAAAATCTTTTAACATGTGCACTTATTATTGAGAGAAAAAAAAAAAAAAAGAAAGAAATATCTTACAATTAGTAAGTATAGCTTGGACAGTTCAACTTTAAAAATAGTAGTAACCGTAACTTGAAAAATAAAAATACACTCCCGTAATTTAGTTTTATACGAAAATATAATATCATCATTGATAAGAATAATACATTTGTTTTGCAGTTAATCAACAATTTAAGAAAGAAGAAACAATCAAGAGATTTCGACAAAGAAAATATGCCAATTTGAAAACAAAATTATAATTTTGGTGACTCGCGCTTAGAAGATTTCAACTTATATTCGATCACATTCTTGTTTTCTTTTCTTCAATATAATAATCAAGAAGACAACATGCATCGTGTTCTTAGTTTTCAAATGGCTCGTGGATTGGGCGAATCCAGCGAATTCGTAACGAAACGCATGTGTTTTTCCTTTCTTTTCTCAGTTGGATTTATTTGTCTACTTTGTGGTTTCTTACTTGGCCGATTTGCTTCTGAAAGATCGATAGAATTTCGCGCTCAAAGAAGACGACTCGAATTAGACGGTAATGGATTAAAACATAACGAACATCTTCAACAATTTTTACTACAAAAATTAGGAGAATCGTCCTACCAAACGTACCGTTTTTTTTTCTTCTTAATATTATTACATTTGATAATTATTCATTGTTATTATCAATTGATTAATCAAATTAATTGTTTATCAAACAGAAGTTGGACAAATTCCATCAGTAAAGAAGATATTGAAACTTTAAAAATTGGCGAAGTGTTATCCGATTTACCGATTTTTCATCAAATTGTTACAAATGGTTCCTTTGTTCTTGCTACTTCTCACGGCTCACGAGAACGTGGTGAGTTTATATTATTATTATTTATAATATTTGATATATATATCTATATATTAACAATTTATATAAAACCAATATTTATAAATATATTTAGACAGATTCGTGATTTTATCAGCAAGTGGAAATGGAATTGATATTGCATTAGAATTGGCTAAAGTATTAAATCAATTACGAGTTGAACATAATTGGAAACCACGTCGTACCCTCATATTTTGTTTATTCTTGGGTTCTTTAGATATTTGTCCGACTATGATGTCTAATTTTATACGTCATAAAATTGTTGCTTATATAGCTTTATATGATGACAATTTACAAGGTTGGTCATCAATTGTGATAAATTAAACGATTTAAAAAGCTTGCTTTTTAAAGATGTTACTAATTACTTGTGTGTGTTACAGGTAATGGTAGTTTTATCTCTGCCGGATCAGATGTGATACAATCTATCATTCTTCAAGAAGTTAAAATTATCAGAAATTTAAATTATCAAAACAATAACATATTCGATTTGGATAATCAAGCATATCAAAAAATTGTATTTCCACGTCTTGCATTAGATATTCCGCATGCTGTCATTTCATTTATGGTAAGTGATTTCGTTAATGTATACATTAATGCATATATTACTTATTTTATTTAATAAATATTTCTAAAAATGTATATTTTATTCATCTTATTTCTCTCTATTTAGAAAAACAACAATACTGTTAACAATGAAAGTTTCAAATCCCATCGTATTCCATTAATGCAATTAATAGGTGACACCATTTGGAGATTGTCAGAGAGTTTAGTCTTTCATTGGAATGTTAAATACTTTAACGACACTGTTAACAACGTATTGGAAACTATCAATGTATCCACATTTTTGGATATAAAAGGTACTTAATAATAATTTTGTTTATACAAGATATTAAATAATTATTATAAATATTCTATTTTAGATGAAATTAAAGAAAACGTTGACAAATTAATGTCTGAAGTACAAGTACTTAACCAAAGGATTGATACGACTGATCTTAGCAAGTAAATACATTTGAAATTTTGTACTTAGTTTATACAATATTAACATTATCATTGACCATTGTATTTTTAGATCCTTGGATACAAGAATAATGAATGACATATTGATGGACTTGGACAGATCACTTTTATGTCCAGACAAATATTTTCGCTCAAAGACTGACTTAGCGTCATTTCATATATTGTCAGAACAATCACCATTCATGTTGAGTTATTTAAGCGATTTACAACAATGTTACAATGCAGCTGTCCAATTATTACAAGAATGGTAATCAAAAAGAAAAAGAAAAAAACCAAAATAAAATAGTAGATGAAAGTTAAATATTTATATTTCAATAGACTGTGGTAATGGAAAAATATTACCACTTAATTCAGACTGCTGATCACAAAAATGATGTATTGTAAACTTTTTATATATAAAAAAAAAAAAACAAATAATTTCAAATGTAAACATTTCTATACAAGTTTTCTTCATTTCCATTTTGAATGTGATATTACCAATATGAAAGAAATTTTCTGTACTATTTGAATATGTAAAGAAAGAAAGACAGAAAGAAAGAAAAGTATGTAGAAAATATATAACATTTATCTGAAATTGATAAAAAAAAAATGAATGTACCTCGTATATTTGTATCAGTGCACGCTGGATGCACCATATCTAATTTCCCTTTCAAATTGGGAAGCGTCAAGGGTTCCTTCAATAGCTTCACAATTTGGATTAAAGACAGAATAAGCACTGGGTTCACCCTTCTTTCTAGGTCTCGATCTCGTATTTAAACAAATTAATACTAAAGCAGATATCACAAAATAAACAGCACCAAATTCAATTTGTACTGCAATAATATATAAAACAATCCATAGGGAAAAATATAGAAAATATATTATTGTAGATAATAAATGACACTGAGCATTATCTTCCGTATCATCTTCCAAATTATCTACATCATCTGCACTCTCTAAATCTTCTATTTTTTCTTTAGATATTACTTTTTGCTTTGTGGTTTTTTCTACTACAGGCTAAAAAAAAAAAGAAAAAGATTAAATTACAATGTAAAATAATATTTAAATAAAAATAACAATATTTTCATTGAAATACATACCTGACATAACTTTTCCGTCTCTTCGTTCGATAGGTCGTTCGACAGTCTTACATTTACATTAGAATTTTCATTCCACGATAAAATACCTTTTATCGAACTTTTCAACGATTCTATCATTTCTTCTCTATGTTTTTTACGCCTGTATGCCTCGAGTTTTGTCTTTATCATTTTCTTTTAAACTTCATCTAAAGTTACACGTTGAAATGATTTATTTGCGTATACGCCATTTTGGTGAACGTAAAAGCGAATACGTATTAATAATAAATTGTCATTGAAAAATATTGATTTCTTCTTGTCTCTCTGTTCATTAAATAGAATTATTATTAAATGTATTATTTTATAATAATAATAAGTAGTTTATAACAAATAAAAATATAAGTTTGTAACATTTAATATTAAATCAAATGTAATTTAAAAATGGCGCATTTTATAATGCATTCATTCTTCACGTTGATTGGTCGAAAAAATTGAGGAATGAAAATATTCCTTAAATTTAAAAACTCGCCTATACGAAGTTATCTGCAATGTTCATGAAAAGGTGGAGTTTAATTCATGTAACCTAATTTATTCGTTGCAATCTAATAATGTTTATAAATACTTAAAATCTGACATATGTTGCGTGATAATCGAGCGGCCATTAATAATTGAATTATGTAGAGGTTATTTAATTATTAAGTATATACCACAATGCTGATTGATGTTACGTTGTGATTATAATATGAAATAATAGTTCATTTAAATGAAATAACATAATTTGAGGAAAATGACAACTGGCCAAAGCGGGCACGATCATTCGTTAGCAATTCGACAGGAAATTCAACGTTTTGAAAGTGTACATCCATCGATATATGCCATTTATGATTTGATTGATTTAATATCAGATACGCATATTGCTAAACAAATACGTGAACATGTCGTTGCTATTGAAGGTACATTATTCAATTTTTGTAAATTCTTTTTGTTTTTTTTTGTTTTTTTTGGTCATTTAATTTTATAAATTATATTTATAGTATAATATACTTTAATTATGATTTTAGATTCATTTGTGAATAGTCATGAATGGACATTGGCTAGAAATGTTCCAGAATTACATTTAGGAATTATTGGTTCATCTGATTCAGGAAAATCTGCATTAGTTCATAGATATTTAACTGGTTCGTTTATGCACGAAGAATCTCCCGAAGGGGGACGTTTTAAAAAAGAAATATTTATCAATGATCAGAGTTATTTGCTTTTAATAAGGGATGAGGGTGGTGTACCAGAAACGCAGGTACTTTTTTTTTTTTTTTTTTTAAATATTCAATATTACTGAATGACAATAATTCAAGATTTATAATTAAATATCTATAGATATTTTTCTTATTTCTTTTATCTTTTAGTTTTCTGCTTGGATAGATGCACTATTGTTAGTATTTAGTTTGGAAAGTGAAGAAAGTTTTTCTATACTATGTCACTTTTACAATAGAATGTGCTCTTTTCGTAACATGTCAGAAATACCAAAAATACTTGTTGGCGTACAAGGTTTGTATATAAACTGTAGCGTTTTTTTTTTTTTTTTTTTTTTAAATATCACTCATACTTCATTCAATAGATATTTCTTTTAGATTCAATTAACGATAGTAATCCACGTGTGATAAAAGACGTAAGGCCACGAAAATTAGCATGCGATTTGACATGTCCGTATTATGAAACGTGCGCTATTTATGGCTTAAATGTTGAAAGAGTTTTTCAAGATGGTAAATATTTCATAAGTTAATTGTTTTCTTTATAACATTTAAATATTAATGATTACAAAAAAAAAAAAAAATCTATTTTTTTATTTGATATTTATTATTGCAGTTTGTCAAAAAATTATTCAAAGTATATCAACGAAAAACTTTAGATGCAACGGACAATATTCTATCGAAAATGAAATCAAATATCCTGTACCGATGACACCGAAAAATGTACAATTGGTTTCAAAAGAAATGGAGATGACAAATACATTAAAAGTTGAAGTAAGAGGAATGTTTAACTGTTTGAATTCCAAATAACATTGAACAGCATTTCATTGAAAATATTGTATTTTTAGGGATCAGAAAAAGATGAAGATTCTAGATCTATTCATAATAGTAATACCCAAAGTGAATCAGGTATGAATGATGGTTTTCATAATACGCAGAATCAACATGGAGAATTAAGATCTTCTATTTTAACTCCAACTACTATTAGGTTTGGGAGTGATTAATTTATTAATTAATTATATTCATTAAAAAATGAATTTATATATAAATGTCATATAATATATATATATATATATATATTTTTTTTTTTTCATAGAAAATTTAGAAGAAAGTCTAATATATTTACACCATCGAAGAAAGAAAAATATAACATGGGAGAAATGGGCGTTGGCAGAGAGATACCAGTTAAACAAGGTTATTTATTTAAAAGAAGTAGTAAATCTTTAAAGGAATGGAAAAAGAAATACGTAACGTTGTTAGAAGATGGACGTTTAACTTATCATTCAAGTTTACACGTAATTATTAATTGACAAATAATATTATTCATTATTTATCTGTTGTATTGTTCAATGTATTTATTAAAAAATATTTATATATTAGGATTATATGAATGATAGCAATGGTAAAGAGATATTGTTACAATACGTAACTGTAAAAGTGCCTGGAAAAACTCCAAAAGGTTCAAAATTATCAAATACTCAAGGTAAATATTTCAAATGTTTCTGATATATATATTATATAAAAATATTATTTCAAAGAAAATAATTAAAAAGTTATTCTACGTATAATTAATTGATGATCATTTTTCAGAAGATAGTTTTGAATTTTCAATCATCTCGTTAGAAAATAAAACATGGCATTTTGAAGCTAATAATGCTGAAGACAGAGAGAGCTGGATTTCTGCTATTGAACAACAAATACTTTCTAGTTTGCAAAATAGTGACGGTGAGAAGAAAAATGAGACGGATGCTTTTAAAATGCATTGTATAAAAAATAAAGTATCTGGAAATGACGCGTGTGTCGATTGCGGTGCGCCTAGTAAGTAATTGAAAAAAAAAAAAAAGAAAAAAAATGAGCCATATATAATTATAATTATTAATAATTATTAATAACTGAATATAATTGTAGATCCAGATTGGGCCAGTTTAAATTTAGGTGTACTAATGTGCATTGAATGTTCTGGTATACATAGAAATTTAGGATCGCATATTTCAAAAGTTAGATCATTAGACTTGGATGATTGGTCGTAAGTATAATGAATATTTACATTTATACACACTTTATATATGTATCGTCGGATTATTATCAGCGTTGATTTTTTGATCATAAGAAAAAAATGTAGATATAAGATTTAATTGTTAATGATGTAAAATAATAATAATAATAATAATAATGCGTTAAATGTAGCGCAGGTCAATTAAGCGTAATGTTAGCTCTTGGTAATGACATAGTAAATAGTATCTGGGAATATTGTTTAAATGGAAAACAAAAACCAAATCCAGAATCAACGAGAGAAGAAAAGGAACAATGGATTAGATGGAAATACGAAGAGAAATCATTTTTAACACCGATTAATCCAAATATTTCGTTAGGAAAAATCCTTATTGATTCCGTTTGTCGGTGAGCATGAGATACATATATATATATATTATGTTTTACATTATAATTAATTAATTAATTAATAATGATAATAATAATAATCTTAAAAAATTTATGAGTTAACATATATTTGTTGAATTTTAAAAATATATAGGGGCGATATGAGAGCATTCACATTATGTTTAGCTAGATGTAGTTACGAAGATATTAATATCTCTGTCAGCACTGAAGATTTACGAACGCCCCTTCATTTAGCTTGTGCAACAGGAAATTTAGCTATGGCTCAACTTTTAATTTGGGTTTGTAGCTATTTCCCCACAAACGATAATATTATTTAAATAATATAAAAAAAAAATTAAAAAAAATCATTTGGAAGAAAAAAAAAATCTATTTAGTATTTAATAATAATTATTGTATATTAAATTATTACAGCATAAAGCAAATCCGCAAAATTTAGATCACGAAGGTCGAACGTGCATGTCTTATGTACGAGCACTTGAACGAACACTTGACAGTTCCTCGGATTCGATGGAAATGCAAAAACTTCTCGAGGTATTGGAACAAGCTAGTATTTCCGGTGTAGAGGATGTAGAAACATCACAGTATTAACATTTTAATAATACTTTTAATAAAAATAAATCATGTGTACTTATTGTATAAAAATCAAACAAACAAACAAACAAACAAACAAATAAACAAATATTTGATTTTTATACAATAAAAAATCATTTTTATAATCCACAATATTGTTATATGAATTCTAATTGAAATAATGATATTTACAAATTTGGATATATAATTGAAATGTTACATTGTGGATTGCACCAATGATTTTTTTGATGATGATGATTATTATATAATACGATTTTTATAATTGTATTATATACATACGAAACAACAGCATAGTGTATACCATAGATGACTTTTTTTTTTCCATATTTATTGTACTTTTTTATCTAATGAATTATATATTTCTCATTATAGAGATAAATTTGTACATTACAAAATAGTTTGTAACAGAAATAATTCGTCATTCAATATATAGATTACAGAAAAGTTTGTATTAATAATGAAAGTGGAGTATATATATATATATATATATATACATATATATATTATCAATGACTGAGAGTACAAAGCACTCATAAATCTAGTTATATTTATATGTTCGAAGCGTTAAATGTATTTCAAAACACGCTTTTGCAACTTTTATTTTATTAATTCTATAGTAAATATAATTATTGCACTAAATTTGTTTACGTTATTTGCCAAAAAAAAAAAAAACAAAAAAAAAACAAACCTTAAATTAACAAATAATATCCGATGCTATTTAATATTAATTAATGTGTATTATACATACCAGTTTTATACGTTTGTCCTTACGTTCTATTCTTGTACATTATTATTTAAAACGTTTTCGAGATAATATTGTACGTTCGAATTAATATTGAAGAGCCAATGATGTTTATCCCTCGAAGATTCTTCATGTATTGAGTTTATGTGACCTTTGAAATAACTCGAACAACCGATAGTGCATTATTCTTATTTACGTGATTATTATTGGTTCTTTTTCTTTTTTCCTGTATGCTTCTGTGTAACTTTCAAAGTTGATTTACGATAGCTGCCATTATTCTCAAATCAATCTTAATGATAAATAAATAAAATATATAATAATTACATTAGTCTCTTGATCTTTTAAACAAATCTCAATAGAATAAAAGTTCAAATTGAAAATATGTGCGTATTATCTCTTGAGAAAATTCTACGTTTTGTTCTTTTTTTTTTTTTTCAATCTAAAAATACAAAATTTAAATATAATTTTCTAATTGACTCTTGTAAATTTGAGATATATTTTCTCAGTTGGCGACAAAATAAACGAATGGGCATTATTTTTGTAAGGAATAGGCGTTTTATCGCAAATTTCGACTTTGAATTTTCTCAGAGTTTTGATCAATCCTACTTTAGATTGATAAACGGCAAATCTGGATCCTAAAAAAGAAAACAAAAAAACATAAAAAAATAAATAAGAATACAAATACAATGTTTAAAAATACAATTTTGCAAATTGTCATTATTTCAATTAAATGACATATGTATTCATTATTTTATCTTAATTACCAATGCAATTTCGTGGACCATCTCCAAAAGGCAAATAAGACATCGCGTGTCTCGTTTTATCCGTTTCATCGTTAAATCTCTCAGGTTTAAAGACATCCGGTGATGAGAAAATTTCTGGATCTCGTTGAATCGCATAAATTGGTATCCAAATTCGAATATCTTTTGGTATTGTAACTTTTGTATTTTCAAACGTATAATCCGTCATTGTTTTTCTCATAAGAAATGTTACTGGTGGATATTTCCTCAAAGTTTCTAAATAAATAATAATAATATTATTATTATTATTATTATTTCATATTTTTTTCAAACAAATTGAAAAGAAGAAAAAGAGAAGAGAAATGGTATATATATATTTATATAAAAAAAAAAGAAACAAACACTTACCACGAAATATTTGATCCAAATAAACCATTTCTTTTATACCTTCATATTGCAATTTTTCTCCATTTTGTTCATAAAATTTATTAATCTCTTGTCTCAATTTATCTTGCATCGTAGGATTTAAAGCCAATTCATAAAGAGCATGAGTCATCGTTGTTGATGAAGTTTCAAAGCCCGCGAGGAAAAATACAAAAGCTTGAGCAGCGAGAAGATCGTCCGTTAATTCTAAATTGTAATAAAAAAAACAAAATTAATTCGTTGATTATTTCAAATCTTAGATAAAAAAAAAAAAAAAAAAAAAAACATGTATGGTAACATACATACCAATGCCGTTTAATTTTTCTGGATTTTTTTTCAATTCCATTAAAAGATTAACAAAATCATTTCTACAGATCTTATTATCTTCCCTATATTTAATAGTATTTACTATAGATCCTTTAAAAAATGTCGTAACCCTGTCTCGTGGCATAAAATTAATTAAAATCTCGAATAGCCATGGTGCCGAATTTCTAAGTCGATTTCTCAATATATTATAAAGACTAACTTCAAAAACTGATCTTCCCATTTTACGAAACTCGCTGTCTTCATCACCTATTGCATTCATTTCTAATCCAAATGCACAACTTCCGATAACATCGGTAGTAAATTTAGCTGTTAATTCATGACAATCTATCGGTTCACCTCTGTCAATGATTCTGTCAAGATAATTTTCGTAATGATCAGCACATTCTGTTAATAAACCAAACATCTCCTTTAATTTACCCGAAGTAAAAACTGGAGAAAGTCGGGTTCTTAATGGTCGCCATCTTTTCGGTTCCAAAGAAAAAAGATGTTGCGATAATGGTTCAGCCTATGAAAATATATAACAAATTACTTTTTATTACTTCTTTTATATTAATTAATAATAATAATAATAATAATAATAATAATCATCATAATTATTAATTAATATAATTATTTATACATAGAAAGTGATGATTGGTGTATTTGAAATAAATTGTGTATACTTGTTTTTTTTTGTCGTATGAAATTAAATAGATAATTCAAGGTGGATCACATGTTCGTATTTCTATTGATATAACTCGCGAATTAAATTATGCTAATGATAAAAAAAAAATCAAAGTATGATCAACGTTGAATGTTTTGTTTTCCTCATTTTTTGTTTTTTTTTGTTTGTTTAGCTTCAATGAAGAAAACTAATGATATACAATACTTACAATAAATTAGCATATTATTCTGTTTATCATCACATAAATAAATATGTTTATTCATACCTTGGCAGATGTTGTAACTCCACGATCAGATATCTTAGAAAAATCTTTGATAAGAACATGCTTAATCATCTCCAGATCTTTAAGAATTAAAACAGGCGATGATTTTGCATAAATTCCGATCATCGGTTCATTCTTGAATTTAGGATCATCATAAAGTTCTTTCAAATAATCTCCCATAGAAATATTTCCTATCAAAACTCTTCCAATATTTCCTACAATCACTTTTGGTTTTGGTCCTGCCACGCCACGTTCTTTCCAAAAATTGTAATTCGATATAAAGTAGTAGTACAATGCTACGATAATTGCAGTTAATGCTAACAGTAGTTCTAATGTCGTAGGCATCTTGAGATTTTCTTTTTTATTGATTTTGTTCTATCAATTAAAAATCATCTATAAGGATTTCTAAAAAAAAAAAAGAAACAAAAGAAAAATAACTATAATAAACTATGTTATCTTTCAAGTTGGATAAAACTGCACAGAGTGTGCAAAATTTGATTAAAATCGGTTCAGTAGTTTAGGAGTACATTGCGGACAAACAACGTGACACTCGCGGAAACACATTCGAAAAGTTGTCTTCAACGATGTTTCATTTTGTATTAATTATTATCGTACTTTTTTTCGAATTAATTTATGTTATCTTTGAGATAATATTTCATTACGTTAAATGTATAAAACCATTTTAAATACGTAAATAATATACGTCTTATCATCAATTATCTTTAATGCTTGTTACATTAAATTATAAAAAGAAGTTTCACACAGACACATTTACACAAAATTTCGCGTGATAAAATTTCCACTGTAAAGGAATATTAATAAAACTAATATTAAAAAAAAAAAAAAAACAAACAAAATATTAATAAATAATATTTGTCATCGGAAATATCAATTTGACATCTGTCCTTTAAACACAATATTAATATAAATACTTTAAATAAATAAATATGTTTAGTAAATTTTCTTCGAAATTATTAGAAAATGAAAACAAAGTTTTAAAACAATTATTAAATATTATAATAAAATCAATAAATATATGTATCTTACAGTTACAATCTTATTGCTGATTATCCGAATGATCTTTTTTTAAATAATAATTATTCAAAGTGACATTGAACGATACTATCACTCGTCCATCAAAAGTTATTCTGACGCTCTCTTCGTGAAACACATCGAATTATATGATGCTGCAATGAGAGATAGAGGATTATTAAATAAATTTGAGTCATGATGATTTGCAATTGTTAACAGAATGATACGTCAATTTTTGTTCTATGCTTTTAATCGTTCGTGGAAGAATTAAAAAGATATATACGTATATAACAGATATATCAAAATATTTGATTAACTGATAAGAATTGTTATGAAAACTGAAATTCATTCCTATCATCTATTTGATACGACGAGATTTGATAACTTTTATGTTGAATTTTTCTTTTTTAATTTTAATGACGATAGTCTATAACGTAATTACATTTTTATCTCATTTCTTTTTAATAACCATATTCTTCTTTTTTTGTTTTTTTTTGTTTCTTTTTCTTGTTAATAATCGCATTAATAATCAGCATAAACATAAACTTCATTTTCAATATATTATTATATTATTATACAGAAAAATATGATATATAATTGTGTATTATCAAAATTTATTCGTATATTAATCGTTATTATTGTGACACATATTTTATTGTTACATCAAAATCAGAATATTTATGAATACTTTACAATTACGGAATTACATCTATGATGTTTAAATGAGATCGAAAAATGTCCACTTTTTTGTTTTTTTTGTTTTTTTGTTTGTTTGTTTGTTTGTATTATGATCATCGCATTAATTCTAATCTTTCTTTTAGTTTCTAGATAAATCGATATCTTATCAAAGAAACATTAGATACTTCGTATCGTCACTTTTTTTTTTACACCATTCATCAAGATTTGTAAATAGATAATAATAATAATAATATTATTCTATAATTCAATCGCGTAATTTTTTTTCTATATTATTAACATAATTAATTTCTTCTTTTCTTTTTCTTTTTTTTTTTTTTTTTAATTTCCTTATTTTTTTTTCCCCCTTTTTTTTATTAATAGATCTATTATTATCAGAGATTATGTGCAACTTAATCTAAATGTATATATACATACATAATAAATCTAATAACATAAAGAAGAAAGAACAAATATATATATATATATATGTATATGTATATATGTATATATGTATATATGTATCATCCTTTTCATATAAATTTGATAATAAGAATGCAACATGTTATATTGTTTACTTAAAAATTATTTTATCAACTTATGTGCTTAATTTAGATCAGTTTTTTTTGTTTATATTTATATAATGAATATAATAGATATAATAATAATAATAATAATAATAATAATAATAAGATATATTTACATATAATTACGATATTATTCATCTGTTCCATATATATATATATATATATATAAATATAATTAGCCTTTTTTTACGTTGTAATTGTTTATAAACAAATGCCTTTTCGAAGGTATGACAATTATATATAAAACATCGAATGCTCGTGCACGATAATAAAGACTTACAAATATATTTAAAAAAAAAGAAAAAAAGAGTAACTACGTATCATCGAACGAAGAAATAACTTTAACATTAGGTCTTTTTGATTTGAACGTTTGAACACCTTGTTTGGTAACCGATGTACCAGTTACATCCAATGTTTCTAAACTTAATATGTGATTTGATAAATAAATAAGACTAGAATTAGTGATCTGTGAATAATTCCTAAAAAAAAAACAAATAAACATATTCGTCATATTCAATGCATATATGATGATGATGATAATATATATATATATGCTTGTATAATAATTGAAAAAAATCATTGTTTTCATATATAAAATCAATTCGCTGTTAATTTACTTACCTAACGACTAATGTTTTAAGTGGTGGATTGTTAAATATACGATTTTCTTCTTCTAATATTAATATCCCATGTGGAGAAGTGTGAATGACTTTTTTAGCAGTAGTTCCTATGGCACGAATAGCCCTGTCTGAGATAAAACGTCCTTCATATGCATCATTGTCCCAATGATTTTCAGGTACATACTGTATAATATATAAAATGTTTTTATAATTCTATCCAAATATTTCATTTATAAAATCTTTATTTTGATCTCTTCCTTTTTTACATGTTTTGAGAGAGATCGGTCGTTTGTTCTCTTTCTTTCATATTTCATTTCTTCAAAATATCAAAGAGAAATTATTCACCTCAATGAAATTTTCATCTTCTAATGGTGGATCTAAGTCTCCGTAGCTTAAAAAATTAGCTGGATATTCCAAATATAAATGTCTCAATGTTTTAGTACCACTAAAGCAACTAACTTCGCTATCTCCAAGTGCAGTATCACGTAAATCTAAAGTCTTCATTAATTAACAATAATTAGTTATTTATTTAAAATAATATACGAGTATTTTATAATAGACAATAATATTGTATGGAAAAAAGATATTGTTTTTGTAAATACCTCTAATTTTTTAAATCCAAATCTGGTAGCCAAACTTGAATAAGCCACGCATTCACCCAAACGATGACAAGAATTCATTCTAAGTTCTTTAAGTTTGGCTATTTTACTAATTACTAATAAAGAATGTGGCAAGAGCCATTGACAATTACTTAAAATTAAACACTGCAAATAAAAAGAAAGAAAACACACACACACACACACACATACACATGTTAAAACGTTATACATTCCAATAGTATTCAATTTTAACATTATAATAAATAATTACTGTTAAATTAGCCATGTGGAGATCAATTTTGAAGAAATATGACTTGTTAGTTTGCAAATGATCCATTTTACATCCTTCGAATGAAAGCTTTTCAAGCGTTCGTGGAAAATCCGTTATTTCAATCTGTAAATTACAAATTAATAATGAATATATATATAGAATATTTAAAATTATACAAACATAACTTCAAGATTATTTACAGTATGCTAAACTAAGAACAAAATTCATTTGATCATACTCAATATGACATTTTGTTTTTGAATCATAGTTGTTTTTATATTATAATTATTAAATGAATAATTTTCATAGATACTGGATCAATGCAGGCATTTTCAATTTTAAAAATCATAGAAATCTTCTCACTTGTTCAAAAATATCAATACCGTTGTTTGAATTTACCAACAACCACTCTTGAAGTTATGTCCACATATTTGGAAACATTTTGTAGATAAAATCAATTCATTAATGTATACAAGATTTGTTATTAATATTTACCTTATTACCATCTATATAATATTCTTCTATAATTAATTCCTTAAGCTGAGTGCATTGTTTGCTTAAGTTACGAAAAAATGATGGTGGCAATTTCATATACTCTTTGGCTTTCAAATCACCACGCATCGATAGACTAGTTGTTGTTCTTTGAAAGAATTTCGAATATTTTTCTATTTCTGCCAAAGATATTTGATCTTTGCGAAAATCAATTCTTTTCCATAATGTTCTGTCATGGCTTAATCGTAACAAACGTTGACTACATCTAAAATATTATTGAATTTAAAATCAAACGATTATGTTTTGTTTTCAAAGAGATTGTTAAATACAAAATAAATATATATATATATATATATATATATTATAATATAATTAGATTCATCAACTTACAAGCTTATTGACAAAAGATCTGACGGAGTTAAATACTTCAATATATTCAATAAAATGTCATCACAAAAATCTTGCAAATTTATATGCGATTCTATTTCGAATTTGGATTTTTTTGGTCCATTGCTACTGCTAGAAGGTTCCGGTGTTAATGATTTGTTTCGTTTAATCTTCATTTTCTTTCTATTCCTGTAAAATACAAACATGTCATTAATAAATAATACAATATTAATAATAATAATAATAATAATCATGCATGTTACTTCTATGTTGGATGAAAATAAACATGGATATGTAAAAAAGTGATTAATAGATAATTCATTTTAAAAATGAATAAAGTGCAACAGGGAATAATTTGCAATAATGAATATTATGGGGAAAATGCATAAGCTTACCGTATTATTAATTAAAGTAACTTTTTTGATATCCTTTTCTATGGGTACGTTCAAATATTATTGATGTAAACAAGAGTAGTTTTTAAATAAGTACAATAATATAACAATTATATAGACATTTAACATATCATTTTTTTTCATACGTAAATATATATATATATATGTACAAACAAATGTCAATAAATAAAACAATATTATCCTTAAAAGGTTATAACGTTATGTTCTCAAAAGTATCAAAAAAAAAAAAAAAATTGTATGATTCGTAATAATTGTACGATCTGTGAAACTTCAAATATGGCAACTTTTGTTTCATACATCAATCGAAAAGATAAACTTTTGTCTCCATCTTGTAACACTGTATTAAAGAAATTTTTATATGTCTCTATTTCGATAGCAATTTGATGTTACTGTTAAAAAATGAAAAAAATAAATGAATAGGACTTAAAACTATGTGATAACATAACCTTCGTTATTTGTACTGTATTCGTTAGCATTTCTCTTATTATACATTATTTTCTAGTATACCAACATATGGATATTAAAAAATACATCTATCAGTAACAATGCATTTGACACATGCAAACGTATACATATAACACATACAATCTTGTACGTACCTCATAGTCCCCCCGTAGTTATAAAATTCTATTGAAATGAATTTGCAGCCTGTTAATGTACGAGAAGCCTGTAGTCACCAAAATAAACCACTGCATAGAACTAGCAAGTAATATTTCATGCCATCTACAATGTCACTAGTAACTAGATAAGCGTAATTGGATACATAGATGGTTGCAATCAATGATTATAGTTCCTTTCTCTGACTTCGTATGTGATTGGTTGTAGCGTTTTTAATAAACGCATGTGATTGGTTGTAATTTTATACATTTTTTGGAATCATATTTTATACACTTTATTTATTTTATATCTCTTAAATGTAAATATAATAATAAATTATAATAATATAATAAATTATTTAAATTAGTATTAACAATAATATATAATTGTTTTACATAATTAATGAAAATATATCTTATAGGTTATATTTTTCTTCTCCTCTTCTTCGTTTGGTTTATTTGTTTATGAATAGTAAAAACGATAGGTCGATCCAAGTCAATGAATGTTTTGACATGTGTACAAATAAATTCATTATTTGTTAAATAATATTTTTAAAAATCTAAAATATCATTTCTTTTGTTACGAGAAAATGAACGTAATTCATATTAATTCAAAAAACGTGTTATTTATATTTTTGGCGCTTTTATCACATATTATTAAAGAAGTGAATATGTGCTACGGCAGTGGTAAATATTTTGTTATATATATATATATTCATATATTCAAATAGTAAAATAATTTCTTTTTATATTATTTGATATTACAGATCTTCCCAATAATACTATAAAAGCTACTCCTACAAATTCTACGCCTGTTGTTGATGATAATAAAAAGGTAAGTTTTTTTTTGTTTTTTTTTTTTTTTATACACATATTACATTACATGTATATTTGAACTATATATAATTATCTAAAAACATAAGGAGATATAATTGAACAATTGTATGCACTATCGTAGGAAGAAATTTTAGGTTTGTGTCCAGTTGGAGTAAAGTGTATGGATTTAGGAGCAGAATGTTTAAACTGTACTTTCAATTTCAGTTGCATTTATGGAGATGTTTATACTGCAAATTGTACTATACAGGAATATGTTAATTGTTCAGTACGTATCAAATAACCTAACACTTCGTAAATCTATTCGATTACTTTCTCATTTCTCATTTTGTTTGTTTGTTTATAATTAGGGTGCAAAGGTTTTTCAAAAACAATACATATGTCGTTATTGTTATTTAACTGAACATTGGGAACACAAGTGTCATTTAAAAAATTCTTGTAGTTCTGTAGCATCACCTCAGCAATATTACAAGTATGTTAAATTAAAATAATATTATAAAATAATTATATATTACAAGTATTCACTCCTAATGCATACTTCTCTTTTTGTTTAGAACAAATTGTACAGTTAATAGTAATGTATTATGTTTGGGTAGAAGAAAGTTTACGAAGAATATACGATGCAATTGGACGGTAGGATACAAGTGGTCAACTGCATTGATATTGAGCATTACTTTAGGAGGTTTTGGTGCAGATAGGTAATATTTTAATTTTTAATATTATTAAAATGAAACTTCTTATAAAACTCTATACTTATTTAGAGAGAACAATGTGCACGTGCATGTGCATTTTTGTTAGTGTACGTTGCATTCAATAATTGTAAGAAGTTTCATTTCTCTGTCATGTGTGTTTACTGATAAGTATAATATACACTTTTAGTTTTTTTTATATTATTAATTATCTTACTTTTAATTTGTTGATATAATAAAATATTAAAGACATAAGTAATGTTTCAATAACAAAACAGGTTCTATTTGGGACATTGGCAAGAGGGTATTGGAAAATTATTTAGTTTTGGAGGACTCGGTGTATGGACTTTAATTGATGTAATATTAATTTCAATGAGATATTTAGGACCAGCTGATGGATCTCTTTATATTTAATTATTATATTAATCTCGTTATATAAAATTAATGTTAAGATTATTTGACACTTCAGAAATTGAATGTAAAAAAAAAAATAACTTGAGATATTATATATCGTTGTTTCATTAGATCTAATTAGGAAATTTTGTTATAATATGAAATGAATATTTGCTAACATTTTAATCGTGAACTGAAACGATATGTGATATATAGATATATTTATAAATACATGTAATTTTTGTTCTTATTAATATCAATTATTTATTGCTTAATATTTAGTATTTGATTCAAACATTTTTCAATATTTTTAAAGGCAACAATTGTATCCTCGAGATCGTTTTCGTCGATCTGCAAAGTAAAACAAAATATAATGTAAAAATGTATATCGTATTAAAATATTATATTTTATATATTAGATATAGAATTAGACATTTACTAGTATAGACTGATAACCGAGCTGTTTAATCAATCTAAGTTTTAAGTTTAATAATCCATGTGGAATTTTAGAATATCTTAAACACGTAATGTCGTTTAACAAATCTATATGAAATGACCTGTGAAAATTAGAAATATATATATATATATATGATAACACATGTGCAATTATAAATATTATAATATAAATAATTATTTATTTATTTAAATTATTACCCTAAAGTTAAATGATCGAAACTAACACCAGGAATATAAATTCCTTTAGCAGGAGAATTGATAAGAACGTTTTGAAGTTTCATTTCTTTTGAAAGTCCACTTACAATTGTGCATACAATTTTAACAGATTTTTGTATTTTCAATGCTACATATACATCAGTAATTAAATCATTTGGTAATTTAATATTCGGAGATTCTATTTGAATGGTATTTAGCAATAAACATAAACTCGCTCGTATTTTCCAAAATTTGTTATTGTACGCTTGAAGAAAAATATTTCTTTTAATGCATTCCTGTATCATCTAAAAAATATTTGTCTATATAAGATATTCATGTGTAAAATATAAATATTATAAATCATAAACGTACAACATACAAATTCAGCTTTATATCCAAGAATCCATAAGGATAATAATATACGTAACAATTCCTTAGGTTCGTCGTAGATAAAAGATTGTATGTTATTAATATAATTAATAATTTCCAACAATTGTACATCCGTTAATTTGTAATTTAATATACAAATGCTCCATAAAAAGCCATCTATGTATTTAGATTTATAGATATGTTTTTTATAGATAGTATTAGATTTAACTTGAAATGTTTTGTTTATCAATGATAAACTTTCCATAATATCTTCAACCAATCGTTTTAATACATTGGCCTCCGAAAAGTACATATTGGAATATAATTTTAAAATATGAACTGCTGTTATTATGTTATATTTTTTATTACAGTTAACTATTTCATTGTTTAAATTATTCGGATAAAAATCTTTAGAATTTCCAGATAGTCGTAAAACTTTGCACAAAGGTACCAAAAGATTCAAATTATTAATTAGAAATTTAGCTTCAGTTTCTATCAAATTTTCGATATTTTTCATTTGTTTTGGTAATAATTTAACTCCACATTTAAACAATGTCTCAGATACTACGCATTTTTCGAATAAGGACAAATCATCAAATTTGAGATATTTGCATGATGCTCTAACATCCTTTGTCGCATTCTTATCTTTTCTCAAACCAAAGAAATAAAGACAAAATATTATTTCATCTTTATTAAAAATATTCTTAATTATTCCTATTTTTAATAATTCGATAGATTTATTATAAAAATTTAATTGTATTATTTTAGAATGTATTATATTATTGAGAAATATCAATGATCTAAAAATATCATAGTACGACATAACCTTCAAAAGATTACAAAACCTATCATCAATATCATTTATTTCATTAATTAATAAATGTACAGGCTGTTGATACATAGATTTTATTAATTCATTTAAAGTTTCTTTCTTTTCATTTTGATTGAAATCTGTCAAAGATGAATTATATTGTTTAATATATGTAGTAGTAGCCTTAACCAAATTTTCTTCTATTATATTAGATAAATTTTGTTTAACGTGCATGTTATTCTTCAAAGTTTCTTCCAAAACTTGTTGAATTATTAAATTGAACGATTTATAATATTTCACATGAATTACATTATTTCGATTTCTTTCATAAATTCGAAATGCATTTGCAAATAATTTTACAGACCTATGTACATTTCGGTTGAACATATGTAAAATAGAAATAAATGATTAAATGTTATTAAACAATTAATTAATTTATATCGATAAATAATAATAATATTAAATATTTTCAATTAATTCTTTATCTTATGGCTTTTTATGAGAGTATATCAACTTATATTTCACATTGAATTTATAACGAATATTATTAAAATGTTATTATCATTAACACGTGTGATATGGCACGACGAATACACTTGATTCGAACATAAGAATTATTTCATTGTTTTAGTCATTTTTTTTCTTTCTTTTTAATCAAACGATATACGTAAGTTTATTTAATATATTAGGAAAAACATTAATTGTATATTTCGAAAAAAAAAATGTATGTGTTGTCAAATTTGACGTATCAACATTTATAGATACTTTGTAAACTTAACCTATAAAAACATAATAATCATTGCGTTTTTTCCATTTAACAGGTTAAAAGGATAATACAAAAAACAATATTAAATATATTTTAATTGAAGTATTTAAATGAATTTATTAAAATGCCAACAGTCATAGCATTAGACGTGTCTCTTTCGATGAGACGTCCAGCAGCAGTTGGATCTTCTGTAGTAAATGATAATTCTCCAAGTGAACAATTATCAAGACATGATTTAGCAGTTCATGGAATAAATGCTTTGCTACACTACTTACAAACTAATTCCAAATTAGAATTTGTTTCTCTGGTAAAACATTAATAAATATATTCTTTTATTTGTGTTTACATTTGTTTTTTTTGTTTAAATCTACAAGATCATTGAATTTTTCATAGCATAATTTCATTTCAGATATTATTTTCATCACTTTATAAAATAGTATGTCCATTTACTCGTGACTATGATAGTATACGTGAAAAAATAGAATTTATAGAGGAATGCGACAAGACTTGCATCGAAACAGCTTTACATGGTGTCAATAATGCAGTTATGGCAGAATGGGGCAATGCTACAGCTTGTCAAATTGTTTTAATTACAGATGGTAATCCTGGAATTGGACCAATGTCTTTGGGAGATTCATTAAATTCTTTAAATGTGACAAGAGATATGAATCCTTTTCCATTACCTTTTCCATATCCAGGAAAATTAAGTGTTGTTTGTATTGCACCAACTCAAGGTAATATTTTATATTAGATTTATCTTATACATATATATTTTTCATTTATATATTTATATTTTTGTAGATCCAAGCTTATCTGTAGGTTTACCTCTTTATCAACGTCTAATTGATCTAGCTGGATGCGACAGTATTATTTTAGTCCCGGACTCTCCTCTCACAAAGCATTCTGTCGCAGTATGTTTTCAAAAATTAGCCGAGACAAATTACGTGTCTTTCCAAGGCTATCTAAAATGTGGCTATTTGGGTTCACGTATTCTTCTATCTCCACCTCCCATGGTAATTTATTGTATTAATAATTTTTACATAAATGTATATTATTATTATCTATAACCAAAACTTTTTATTATATATATATATTATTTTTTTAGCCATATACAAAAAAGACAGATTTTGAATTGATATCTGGTGTAATGATATCGAAGAATATTGAAATTTGTGGATTTATATCAGTGGCAGATGTTGGTAGTCCAAATGCTATTTCCAGACATTTAATTTTGTCATTGCCCACTGAAAAAAATGCAAATATGCAAGGAGTGATATTGGATGAGGAATCTGATACGGATGAAAATGGCGATGATGGAAACAATGCATCTTTTTGTGTATTACTTCATGGAGCTTTGAAGGTTCTTTATTATTATTATTATTATTATAATAACTTATTATATTAGTCTTATAGAAAAGTATTTAATTAAGATCATTATTTGTAGGTAGAAAATATGGCAGCTCTATGTTTATTGAATAATGATTGGTTCGGTTTTATTTATTCCTGGGCAGATACAAAAAAGAAGTCTAATTTAATGTTAACAGTTCTAGAACCAGGAGTTGATATCATACCATGGTTAGGTAATTTCAATAATTTAGGTCCAGCTGATTCAGCTCAAGGAGCACAAGCTTCTTTTCCTGTTAGACCAACAGAGAAAAGAAGTTACACACAAAATGCACCTTCGTGGATTCGACAATTAGGATTACAATCAGATATTCAAAAAATTTTAAGACACGCTAGAAAATTACCAGAGAAGACGCAAAACTTTTACAAGGTACGTTTAAGATGTCATCTGGTAAATTGTTTTTTTTTTTTGTTAACATTTGAACAATGTTGATCTCTATTTTAATAGGAAGTAAATAGGTTACGCAGAGCAGCAGCTTCTATGGGTTTTGTAGAATTATTAGAAGGTTTAGCGTGTATATTGGAAAGAGAGTGTACATTGTTACCATCTAATTTAAATCCAGATTGTACGATACAATTAGGACACGTTGCTACAATGTTACGAAAACCTGAATATCTTGAACTCAGATATAATATTCCACCTACACGAACGAAATTTCAAGATGGTTCATAATAAAATGACTAAAATATACACTTACCACATTTATGTATTTATATTAAATGTTAAGGTTAACAACAAAAAATGACAGATATTAAATATCAATGGTTTTTTATAAGATAATAGTAAAATTTAATATTTTTTTTATACTACGTAGGGGTTGGAACTTAAATAGTTGCCAACTATTTATTTATTCACAACCGATACAAAAGAGTTACATGTTTGCACCTGTTACTGTCCTAGAACCCGTTAGCAGAGCCTGTTATTGTTGATGGTGCGAATGGAACGGTGGTCTACTGCCTGTCGAATCTCTGGAACAGTTCTGAAGCGAATGCCACGATGGGTTCCGCATGAAATTGATGGAAATGCAGAAATGGATGCGTCACGACGCTGCTCAGACGCACTTGGAGTGCTATGAGCACGAATGAGAGGCTTTCTTACGCCGTATCGTAACACTGGATGAGACATGGCAATAGACCGGCTCCATTCACACCATCAACAGAACAGGCTCTGCTAATGGTATACTACGCCTTCCACATCGCTGGCAATGGGTTCTACACAACGCTGGGGTGATTACTTTGAGGGACAGTAACAGGTGCAAACATTGTAACTCTTTTGTATCGATTGTGAATAAATAGTTGCCATTATTTATGTTTCAACCTACGTATAACGTTCAATACGTTTTTAATCATCGTTTAAATTTTTAACAAGAAAACATATGATATCGTATAAACCCTTGGCAGTTTGCAGGCTAGAATATACATTAAGATCAGGAACATGAATGAATAATGTTTTGTGTGTTTTAATATTCAATGATTGATAAAATATGTATTCGCATAGATATCTTCCAGCATCGTGAGAAATGCAAGCAGTGCATCCACTTTCTTTTGAATTTTCATTAATACTGTCGCAAAGGTTCTTAACATTTATGTTAGTTTTTAAAGCATGACAAATGTCCTGTGATTCATAGGGACATTTACCATCTATGTCTGGTCGTACGTAGCCTGTATTATGAGCAATATGTTCTATAGTTAAACAACTTGCTTTGTAAGAAACACCGACGTGTATAACAATCTAAAAAAAGAAAAAAAGAAAAAAGAAAACAGTAACAATTAAGTATCACATGTTTATTAATAATAATAATTATTTAATTAATTCATGAATTAAACACAGAGCTACGTACTATTGGATCATATTCTTCCCATAATTTAGATATTTCTGTAGACACGTATTGATAAGATACAGGTATCTGTTTTGTTATTAGTTGAATGTTACATAATTCTGTTTGTGGCCACAATTTAGACAATTCTTTGACAGCTTCCCAACTTGCATTAACAACATGTTTATCAAATGGTCCAAATCCAGTTATCAATATCGTATTTCCATTTACATTCGTTTGATCTTCACGCATTTTTATGACTACTGAATTTCATAGATTTTCACTCAATGAACTTAATCAAATTTTGAATATTCATTTATTATTAGTAATATACTACTTTACGTAAGAGTATTGTCAAATGTTTACAAAACGATAATACTTGTCATATTTAAATATCACGTTGATAGGTTCAATCTTTTTATTATGTCAACCAATCAAATGTGAAGTTGCATTCTTACAAAGGATATTAATTTTTACAATTTTTATTAAACAATTTAAATAAAATCACATACACACACACATACAAATAATTAAAGCAACTCAGAAAATATGCTGTGTTGGGTATCGTGGTTTTATCTAAATTATATTAGTCCTGTTTATTTCATCTGTTGTTTGTAAAAAGATAGAAATGATTAGTTGCAAACTCCATTATCTGAATTCAAATATAAAAGGTGTTATTATTATATAATAAGAATTTATAAATTGTATATTTTGTCTTAAGAAACTATGAATTTTACAGATTGGGATCTCTGGAAGGGGCGTGGCGTAGCAAAATTCGACCTATCTACACTAATTTTGAATTTAGCCACCAGATGGCGTATTCAAGTGCTAGAGATCCCAATAGTGTAGCATAGCATTTACTGTCTTTAACCACTTGACCACCTGACTTTAACCTTTGACTTAACTTCCGGTTTAGGTGGCGTGCGCTACGATTTAACAAACGCTACTGTGTCAAATTCTTACAGCTTTGAAGTGCTTCGGTAAAACCAAGATTTTGACAGGTTTCAAATCTTTTCTTTTTTGCTTTGGGACCAAGTGCATATTGTTTTTAGACATCTAAAGTACACTTTAAAAAAACATGTGTGTAGATCACACAAGTTAAAAGTGAAACGTTTAATAGATCAAGTTTCGAGAGAATAAGACGAGTGCATATTTATCAGGTGTAGGAGGATAATTTATTATATATTATTATTATAATATTATTTCGTACTTTTTTTTTCTAATTATTTATTTAATAATTATAATAATGCGCGCCTATAAGGTTGCAACCCTCCAGACACATTTTGAAAATATTGCTTGCGAGCGCCATCTGTTTGGATGGAATTTTTTTTCTGCCCGAAACATAGGCAACCCGTAATACATGCGTGTATAAACAGTTTGAAGTGAAAAAAAATTCCGTCCCAACAGATGGCGCTCGCAAGCAACATTTTCAAAGTGCGTCTGGAGGGTTGCATACCTACAGGCGTAATATTTTTATATAAATAATGATACAAATGTAATTTTAATTTTGTAATTAGTTAATGCATATTTTTAGAATAATATTTAGTATTTTATATGAAAAGTAAATATTTAAAAATTGAAATTAATCAATGTTAGACATTTAATGATCGTCGTAAAAATAATAAAAGATTAGAAAGTTGTTCATAATTTTATTCGAGAACGATCCATGACTTATGTGTGTTGTGTGTATGTTTGCGTATATATGTATATTAAAATAATAATCTATAATTAATTATATTTGTTCTTTTAATATTATGTTTGAAATATCATCAATTTTTTTCTACTTTATCGACTGTTCCTTCACTTTGTCTTAGCTTTTCGGTCGATATAGTAGGAATCTTTGAAAAGATTCAAAAATATTGCTTTGATTGATCGACAGATGGCAATGTATTGTTCGAGAAGACCCTTAAAATACGACGATAATTTTAAATAAGTATTTATTGAGAAAGATGAAATGAAAAGAAAATATTTTCTTTTATAATCATTTCGATAAATTTCTTTTATTTAAATAAAGCATATATCAAAATTAGCAATAATTAATTATTGTTCTTACCGACTGAACTTAGTCGGTAATGAAAAATTCTTCTTGTATCGATTGGTAAAAAGTTTAAATAACTTTTTGGTTTTTTTTTTTTTAAATTATATTTTTGTGTATAACTATACGTAAAAAATATAATTATAAAAAAATGTTGATTGTAAATAGAATAAAATGGTTTATAATTTAAAAATCATCCTATATAAGTACAATGTCAGATATTTTTATAAAGAATTCGAATTCAACTAAAAATATAATTATCAATTTAATCGTTCAATAAAAGAATACATTAGTTAGTATAATAATAATAAAATAAATAATTTAATAATAATTAAAAAAAAGATGGAAAATAGAACTCTAATAAATATAATTTATTTAATAACGAATGCTCCGTTGAAATCTTACGTACAACACTTATATTATTATTATTATTATTATTGTAATCGTTTAGGAATATAGATGACGTGTAAGATTTAAGTATGGCAACATCATCAAAAGAATGATTTACTTGTATTATCTTAAAAACGATGACACAAGTCAACGATCAGAATAGGCTTGTCGTCGTTCATGTCCGGTTTGTTTCGACATTTTCTTTCTTTATTTCTTTTTATCTCTAGGACCCCGTTAAACATGCGACATTAATTTGCGTAAGGTGTGTTTTCGGGGTGCTACTTGAAAAGGCAACGGATGTGGGTGCGCAATAGAAAGGAGTTGTGTGTCGAACAGAGGAAAATACGAGACGAGACAAGACGAGACAAGACGAGACGAGACGAGAAGGTGAGGAAAAGAAAAGGAGAGCGCACTGACAAGAACGTGTCTCATGGCTCTCCTCTCATTTGCCTTTCAATACAAAGCCTGTGTTGCCTGCTTCTTCTTCTCTTATTCTCTTCTTATTCTCCTCTCTTTTCTATCTTTTCTTCGTCATTATGCACGACACGACCATTGTCGTATCTTGCGCGCGCGTATATCGCATTCATTCATTTCTTTCTACCTGTTCGTATTCCTATCGCGTGGGTGGCCACACACCGTACCGTGTCATTTTCAAAAAAAAAGAAAAAAAAAAAAGAAGAAGAAACTTTCCCCTAAATTTTGTCATCCCCCTCTTCCTCTTCCTCCTCCTTCTATCTTTTTTTTTTTTCTCTCGAAACAACAACGATAACAACCTAAGCTCGACTTAGTTCAATGCACCATTATAAATATAACATAATATGCTTTTATTTTCCCATATTTCTCGACTTTTTTTTTTTTTTTTTAGTCAGTTGCGTGTGTTTTTTTATTACGACGATTATTCATGGTATTTTATAAAAAAAATATATATATGTATAAATGTATATAATTCGAGTAGCGTATATTTAAAGATTTCTATTTCTTTTTTTATTGTCCTACTCTGTCTTTCTATTTACAGAGATCTTTACACGAAGAAAGGTATTTTACACAGGTACACACATATTTATATATATATATATAAGAAGAAGATAGTTTGAGACGTTTTAACGAGCACGTTTCACGCTCGTCGCGTTACTTACAATCTTCACGCTTTTGTCTTCACCTTAAGCGCCATGTTTCCGGAATACCAGTCTATTACTTATTACTTATTTATTTCTGTATTTCATACTATTTACAAGACGTTTTTTCATTCGTTAAGTATCTTGACCATGTGTCTTAGGATATTAAAGTAAACTACATAATACATTTATTTCCTAACTTAGGTAAATTTACGAAATAGGATTTGTTTTATTAGGGAGTTTCGATTTATTTTGTATTTTTGTTAAGTTACACTCAAAGTTATACGTCATTTTGTTTTTTATTATATAATTATTATAATATTTTGTATTGTAATTATTTAATTACTATAATATTTTTTATTATAATTATTTCATTATTATATAATACTATAATAATTATAATATATATAATAATATTTATATAATATTATATTATATATTTTTTATATAATCTTTAAATATTAATATATTTATAATTATTGTAATATTATATAAAATATTATAATAATTATTATAATATATATTAATATTAATATATATTTATATTAATTATATAATTTATTATATTTTTTCTGGACTGGTAAGATTCGAACCCGCGATACAACCACCACCACGGTTATTATCAATCTCAGACTCTAGCATTGAGCCACAGATCATTTTTTATAATTTATATAATATTAATATATTATAATTATTATAATTTTTTATATATTATAATATTTAATATATTAAATAATTAGTACAATAAATATTATAATAATATCTTATATATTAATTAAAAGTTACATGCAGATATATTATTTAAAAGTTAGTTTCTTTGATGGGGTTTAAGTACCTTGACCATGTTTCAAGATATCAAACTTACTACATACACGTTTTATTCCTAATTTAACAAAATAAGATTTGCTTATTTATTAGCAGTCTCGTATTATTCCTCAATTTTATAAAAAATTACACCAAGAGTTATGCATAATTTTGTTGTAATTAAAAGTCCGTTTTGTTTAAGGACTGAGGTATATCCCATCGTCCCAGTTGGCAGTTTTCCACTTGAGAAGTAACGTAATAGTCCATATAATGGCCGTTAAACGGGCCGGTGGTAGACGAACCGAGGAAAGAATGAACAGAAAGATCTACAACATAAGAAAAAGAAAGAAAGAAAGAAAGAAGGTGGTTGATGGTGATAGTGGTGGTGGTGGTGGTGGACAGCCTTAGGCAAACGGTGGTATGCCAGCCGTACGAGTTTTCGAGGTGAGAGACCACAGACTGTTTGTATCGCTTAACCTAATGAGGATACAGATGGCGATATTGTTGTCGAGCATACTAACTAACACACCATCAAAATGTGTTGTTCCTTTATCGTTCTCGGGGTGAATATGTAAGGGCAGCAGAAAGAAGAATAAGAAGAAGAAGAAGAAGAAGAAGAAGAAGAAGGGAATCGTCGCAAGGTGCCTGCGAAAAGGCTAAAACATTAAAAGATAGATAGATAGAAAGAAAGAAAGAAAGAAATGGAGAGAACTAACTCACTGATCAAAAGGGGTTGCCTCCGTTTGGTTTGATTCTTATCTCAGCCAGCCGGTCGTGACTGCTACCGAGTTGATCGTATATTCTGATAGGAAAGGTGGTACCACCCCACCTTCCTTTTAACTTCTTTTCGCCATAGCGAGAACCTGCGATGCTTAATGCACATTACATATACATGTATTATATACCTGGTATTATAGTACACATACATACATATATATATATATAACAACATTACTCGCGGCATTCGACTTTTAGGGATCCAAGCAGATGTGCACAACTCTTGGCTGCACTGCTTACACGGCTGCGCATACCTGCGCATCTGGGCCGTCGCCTTGGGCCCATGAAAGATCTCAGTCAGTTTTACTACTCTTTTACTATAGCTCGTCATTAATTTAATTGTAATTGATAC